ATGTGCAGGGGGTTCTCAGGTTTGGGGGCTCTGCAAAGGGGGCCTCTAGGGGCCCCTCAAGTGATGTGACGTGTGAAAAACTAGGCGTGTCGGGGAGAGAGTCCCAGCCCGGCCCTCAGAGACCAGTGCCAGCTCAGGGGGCACGCGGCACTCCACCCCCAGGATGCCCCCGGTGCCCAACCCGGCCCTCCTCCTGGCCCTGGGGTGCTGGGGTGCCACCCTCCCCGTGGAGGTTCCTGCGTAGAGGCTGGGATCCTCTGTCAGAGCCCAAGGGCACAGGCCGAGCCAGGGCGGTGGCGGTGGGGGGTGCCCTGGGGAAGGTCCGTCCTGCCCTCACGTGGGCCTGTTGCAATGAGAGCCTGAGGCTGGGTCTGGGGCTCAGGCTGGCCAGGGGAAGCCCCTTCCTCTGCCTGCACCCCCCACAGAGACTTGGGGTCTGCAGGTTCCAGGTCTCCCGACCGCCCGCCTCCCCCCTGCCTGCTCCCTGCCCCCAGGGTGACCCCATGAGCACCCATGCCCCCCCAGTAGCCACTACTGGTGTCTCCCCAAGGCCCCACACCCCATGCCTGCCCCCAGCACCTCAGCCTACCCTCCCGGGCCCCGGGGCACGCAGGCGTCCAGGAGGCTGCCCCCTGCACCCCTCTCCACCCCGTGCTGAGCAGGGCACCTGCCCCCTGAGGGCCCCTGCAGCCTCCAGGCTTCTTCCCACACAGCCGGCCCCCAGATGCCACCCACGACGCCCTCCCCACCCCCCCACGGCGCCCGTGCGCCCTGGTCCCCCAGTGCTTCCCTTAGGCCTGAAGCCTCAGCGACAGCCTCACCCCTTCCTGGCCCGCGCCTCTGCTCCCTTCCAGCCCCCACCCCAAGGCGGCTGCCCGGCTCGAGCTGGGGCCCGGGGCCTGCCCAGCAGGAGTCTACCTGGCCATGACCCGGAGGGCCGCCCCATGGGATGGACACACCAGGGGGTGCTGACGGCCCGGCAGGAGGGGCTGGGCCGTGCAGGGGCGGTGGGCGACCCCAGCTCCCTGCAGCCACCTCCCCAGGCCCCTCCCTGCCCCCCCAGCCACCCGCTGCTCAGTGTCCCCGGCGGGCTCTCCCTGGTGTGGCACCAGCCCCAGGCCCGCAGACCCCTCTCCAGGCTGCCGGGCAGGGCCCTGCCTTCACCCCAAAGCCCCTCTCCCCGCTGGCCAGGGGACAGGGTGAGGTGCGGCCCCCAAAACATCTGCCTCCATGTTCTGTCCTCGCCGGGCGCCGCGGCCACTCTCAGGCCCGTGCCACACCGGAGGCCCGGGAGGCTGGGCACAGAGCGGCCAGGGCAGGGGGGCCGGGGCCCGCGGGGCAGAGCCGGGTGGGCGAGGAGGAAGGAGCTGGGAGGGCAGGGAGGCCAGGCCGGGCACTGGCACCGCCGACCCCGGGTGTGGGGTGGACCCCGGAGGAAGGAGTGGGGGGCTGGCACCCGGGGTCAGGAGGCGGTGGACGCGGCCGGCAGGATGGCCCCGAAGCGGGGTCCCACTCAGAGCGGGGAGCGGGGGCCACCGCCCGGGAGGAGCCTGGCGTGGGGAGGAGGCGCCCCTCTCCAGGCCCCCTACCCCTCGGGCCGGGCCGGGGCCGCGCGGGGGCCCGAGCAGACGCAGGAAGTGGCCTAATTGCGCTGAGCGGGACAGCAAATCCCCTGCAGCTGGCGCGGCCGCGCCGGGGCCTCACCGCCCATCAGCGCCTGACAGCCCCGCCGAGCCTGCCAAGGGGTCTGGGCCGGCGGCCGGCGCCTTTCCCAGGCCAGAGGCCCCTACCCCACCCCACCCCGGGAGGCCGCCCCCTCTCCATTCCCAGAACGGAGTCCAGCTGTGCGGCAGGAGGGTGAGGTCATGGGAGGGGCCCGCGGGGGCCGTGTGACTCACATCCTGGGGCAGGCGGGGGGCGGCCAGGAGGCTGGGGGCCGCGGGGTCAGGGCTGGGGCCGTGGGCTGGGGGCCTCCCTGCCTTTCAGACCCCTGCCCACGAGCTGTGAGCGCGTGGGGGCTGCAGCCACCGCCGGGCGGGGGCGCCTCGGGGCCCGCCCCCCGCCCCCCGCACAGTGCTCTCGAAAGCCACGTCCTGGCTCTGAGCGGGGCTGAAGTTGGGGTGCAGCCCGGGGAGAGGGTGACGGAGCCCCCGGGGTGAGGGGCTGGGTGCACCGCATGGCCGCTGCGCTGGGGGCTCCACGAGCGGCGCGGGCGCCTGTGTGCCGAGCGGCCTGCACGTGCGAGCAGGCTGGGCCGGGACACGGTGGCGCTGGCCCCGGCCGACCAGCCCCGGGTGGGCTCTGCGGTCTGTGCTGGTGAACAGCCCCGGGTGGGGGGTCCGGGGTGCCCGAGCAGGCCCGTGGGCAGACAGAGCAGGACACGCACCCACCACGCGCGCCAGGCGCGGGGGCCCGGGAGCCCCTGTGGGCGCCCCAGGAGGCCCGTCCCCACAGCCCAGGCCCTGCGTGCCCGTGCCTTCCACTTGAGGGGCTGGTGCTGCGGGGACCCGGGTCCCCCCAGCGAGAGCTCCGGCCTTGCCTCCTGGGGAGCGGGGAGCGGGGTGCGGGTGGGGCGGGCCAAGCACGCGGAGCCTGCGTGGCCGCCCTGTGGCCAAGCGGGAGGCCCGCGCGGGCTGAGCGGGGGCCTGGCTTTCGTCTGAGGCCCCAGGAGGGGCGGTGAGATCATGCGCTGGCGGGAGGCGGCCAGGGTGGGGGCTGCGAGTTCAGGCAGCGGACACGACGCGCAGGCAGGGCTGAGACCCGCAGAAACAGCCCCGGCACCCCCTCCGCGTGCGGGGGCCCTCGGCGGGGCCAGACTCACCATCTGAGGCCTTTGGAGCCAAGGCCTGGACCCCCGTTCCGAGCCCGCCTGCGTTGGCCCTGCTCTCCAGAGCCCGGGGTGAGGGGCCCCGAGAAGTCCTGCGTGCCCCTGAACGCGAGTGGGGCTCGCAGGGCCCCGCTCCCCACCCGAGGCAGCCCACGAGACGCCGAGGGCACGTGGAGAACAGGCTCCCGCTTGAGGGGTGGTGGCTGCGGGGCTGGAGACAGCCCTGCTCTCGGCACAGGCCCTCTTCTGGGGCCCCCTCCTTGCCCCTGTGCCACACTTTGGGGGAGCAGGCAGGGACGGCCCCTAGGCTGGCCAGGGCGTGCAGTCACTGCTGCTGACGGCCTGACCCGACCCCAGCCTGGCTGGGCAGTGCCCGGCAGCCAAGGCCGCAGCCTTGTGAGCTCAGGCTGGCGGCGCTGCCCCCCAGCACCCCCTCGCCCTCGTCCCTTGCCTGGGTGCCCCCGCCTACGCCTGGCTCTGACCAGGCCCCGCTGCCAGGGCAGGAAGGCACAGCCTGAAGCCCTTTCCCTGGGTGTCCGCAGGCCCGGGTGGACACGCCAGGGGACACACGCTGTCCAGATGGGCCTCCCAGCCCGGGGCACCCACCCCACCCGCTCCTGTGGCCACCCACGGGCTTTCGGAGGGGGAAACTGAGGCCCAGCAGGGGTGGCAGCTGACTCAGCCCTCCCACGGGGCTGGGGAGCGGCCTGCTGGGGCAGGAGGTGGGTCCAGGCTGGGGTGACTCTCCCTGTGCCCCCAGGCTCACTGCCCAGTGGAGCGAGGAGGACGAGGAGGAGGCAGCCCGGGAGCGGCACCCACGAGCCCAGGCCGGAGCCGAGGAAGATGAGGCCGGTGCCGGGGGCGGCCGGAGCAGCCCTGAGCGGCCGGAGCGGGAGAAGCTGTGAGCATTGCCCCGACCCCGCAGGGCACCCTGCTGGTCAGGCCGGGGCTGGGGTCTGAGCGTGGGGCCCGGGGCCGCCCCAGGCTGGCTGGGGTTCAGAGGGTGGGGTCCTCACGGCCCCTGGCCCTGGCGTCAGCCTCCCCTGCCAGCGGCCTCCTGGGGTCTGACTCACTCTCTGGCGCCCCACACAGCCCTGCTTGGCCGGCGCTGACCCCAGCTGCGTGGCCTGCCCGGCCCCCCGGCTCCCCGCTGCCGGTGACTCACGGAGGCCGGGTCCAACTTGGCGGGCGGCTGCCTGCTCCTCCCGGCCCGGGAGGCCTGCGGCTGGGCTGGGCTGTTTTTCCAATGACGCCCCCCTTCTCCCCCGCGCCTCCCCCCTCCTCCCTGCCCTGTTTCGTTCCATTTTCTCCGAGTCAGCAACTCCGGGCGGGGTGGGGTGCTGCAGCGGTCACAGACCCTCAGGCCAGGTCCGGGGCCTAGCAGGCCAGGCTGGGGGAGCAGCACCCCTGTGCACTCGGGCCTGCGGGGCTGGCTGCAGAGTGCACCCCCACAGGGGAGGGCTGGGCCATGCCCTGGGCCAGCTGGGGGCAGAGGGGGACTCAGCACCACATCTGGGCCCCAGCTGATGGGGGAGACTCAGCCCGGCCTCGGGGAGCCCCACACTGATGGGGAGACTCACCCTACTGATGGGGGAGACTCCACCCGGCCTCGGGGAGCCCCACACTGATGGGGAGACTCACCCCACTGATGGGGGAGACTCAGCCCGGCCTCGGGGAGCCCCACACTGATGGGGAGACTCACCCCACTGATGGGGAAGACTCAGTCCAGCCTTGGGGAGCCCCACACTGATGGAAAGACTCATCCCACAGATGGGGGAGACTCAGCCTAGCCTTGGGAAGCCTCACACTGATGGGGAGACTCACCCCACTGATGGGGGAGACTCAGCCCGGCCTCGGGGAGCCCCACACTGATGGGGAGACTCACCCCACTGATGGGGGAGACTCAGCCCAGCCTCGGGGAGCCCCACAATGATGGGGAGACTCACCCCACTAATGGGGAAGACTCAGCCCGGCCTTGGGGAGCCCCACACTGATGGGGAGACTCACTCCACTGATGGGGAAGACTCAGTCCAGCCTTGGGGAGCCCCACACTGATGGAAAGACTCATCCCACAGTTGGGGGAGACTCAGCCTAGCCTTGGGAAGCCTCACACTGATGGGGAGACTCACCCCACTGATGGGGGAGACTCAGCCCGGCCTCGGGGAGCCCCACACTGATGGGAGACTCACCCCACTGATGGGGGAGACTCAGCCCAGCCTCAGGGAGCCCCACACTGATGGGGAGACTCACTCCACTGATGGGGGAGACTCAGCCCAGCCTCAGGGAGCCCCACACTGATGGGGAGACTCACCCCACTGATGGGGGAGACTCAGCCCGGCCTCAGGGAGCCCCACACTGATGGGGAGACTCACCCCACTGATGGGGGAGACTCAGCCCAGCCTCAGGGAGCCCCACACTGATGGGGAGACTCACCCCACTGATGGGGAAGACTCAGCCCGGCCTTGGGGAGCCCCACACTGATGGGGAGACTCACTCCACTGATGGGGAAGACTCAGTCCAGCCTTGGGGAGCCCCACACTGATGGAAAGACTCATCCCACAGTTGGGGGAGACTCAGCCTAGCCTTGGGAAGCCTCACACTGATGGGGAGACTCACCCCACTGATGGGGGAGACTCAGCCCGGCCTCGGGGAGCCCCACAATGATGGGGAGACTCACCCCACTAATGGGGAAGTCTCAGCCCGGCCTCGGGGAGCCCCACACTGATGGGGAGACTCACCCCACTGATGGGGAAGACTCAGCCCGGCCTCGGGGAGCCCCACACTGATGGAAAGACTCATCCCACAGATGGGGGAGACTCAGCCTAGCCTTGAGAAGCCTCACACTGATGGGGAGACTCACCCCACTGATGGGGAGACTCAGCCCGGCCTTGGGGAGCCCCACACTGATGGGGAGACTCACCCCACTGATGGGGGAGACACCACCAGGCCTCAGGGAGCGCTGTTGTTGGAGGCACGCCCTGTTCTTGGGGCACCCTGGCTGGATGGGGAGGCTTAGCACTGTGAGGAGATGTGGCCATGGGGGGGTCTCTGCCCAGGCCAGCCTGCTCCCTGCCCCTTGCAGGCTGGAGCCCGCGGACCCCGACGAGGACGAGGGCTTCGGGGACTGGTCCCAGAAGCCGGAGCAGCAGCAGCCCTGGGGGCCCGGGGAGCCCGAGGGCCCCGGTGTGCAGGCCCAGCCCGACAGGCAAGTGCTGGCGGCCACCGGGTGGCGCTCCTGCCCTGCCCGCCCGCCCGCCCGCTCCCCGCGGCCCCCCAAAAGGCCCTTGTGACTGGGAGGGGAGGCCGGAGCGGGGAGGGAGGAAGAGGGCTAGACAGCATGGCGGCCGCGAGGGGCCCGGGAGGGGCGGGAGGAAATCTCATCCCTGGGCTCCCCAGGGCCCCTGGGCCGCGGCCAGCCCAGCTGTGGCCGGCGGGTGTTGTCACATCTGCAGCCCACTGAGCGGCGGCCTGGCCCGCCCTTCCTCCCTCGGGGCTGGCCGGCCTCCATTCCCACGGCGGGAGCAGGTATTTCCAGATGTGCGGGCGGCGGCGCGGCGGCGGGACAAGCTTTCCAGATGTGCAGACGTGTCTGAACCGCGGGCTGGGGGGGTGCGCGGGGCCCGGTGTGGGGGCTGCTCCCACCCCGCGAAGCCTGCGGCCTCGGCGGTGCCCTGCCCAGCCAGGGGCCGGCTCTGCTCCGGGGCTCTGGGCTCAGACCCGGGTCCCCCTGCCTTGAGGGTCAGTAGACCCCATCTCTGCACCCCACAAGACCCCCAACCAGCCTCAACTCCACATGAGCCCCTTCCCGAGGGGCAGCCCCCTTCCCACCCCAAGGGCAGACGCCAGCGCCCGGGGGCCTCGGCCCGTGTGCACCCTGGGCCCGCTGCACCCTGGGCCCGCTGGGCTGCGGCACCCCAGCTTCCCGCCCGCCCTGGGGAGCGGGTGTGCTCCCCACTTCTCAGACCTGCGGGCCGGGCGCCCCAGCCCCGCGCTCCCGCGCTCGGCCGGCAGGGGGCGCTTTGGCTCTTCGGGAGCCGCGGCCCGCCCCGCCCCCGCACCTGCCTGGCCGCGGGCTGAATGGGCCTCTGTGCTGGGCGGGCGCCGGCCACCTTGGGCGGCGGGGCTGGGGCTCGCTGGCGCGCACCGAGGGGCTGAAATCATGGAAAATGAGAGCCGCTGCTTCTCCAGGCTCAGGCCCGCTCAGACCCAGGGCCCCGCTGCTGCCGGCCCCCGCAGTGCGCCCCCCGACCTCAGGGTGCCAGGCCGGCCGCCCCGGAGCCTCAGAGTGACACCCCGCACAAGACCCCTCTCCCCAGCCCCTGCCCCCAGCCAGCCCTGGCCCGGGGCCGCCAGCCAGGCCCCCAGGGCGGCCCGCAGCTGGGCACGAGGCCACTGTCCATAGAGCCCCGCCTGGCCTGGGTGTGGGGGTGTCCTGGGGAGAAGACTGCCCAGCAGGAGGCCCTGCCCCAAGGGGCCCAGGGAGAGGGGCCAGCTTCCCCCAGGAGGCCATGGTCTTAGAGTTCCTCAGACCCCCCCTGCGAACCCCCACTTCTCACAGATGAGGACACAGAGGCACAGGGACAGGAAGGGGCGCCTCAGCAGCAAGTGACCACCGCTTTGCCTCCCTCTCCCCGCAGGCCCTGCCTGCATGTCTGTGGGGCCCAGGATGTCCCCGCGCTGAGCTCAGCCCAGGCCGGCATGGAGGAGCTGTGCCTGAGCCCCGGCTCTGGACCCCAGGAGCTGGGCCCAGCGGAGGCCCCCCGGGGCAGCCTGGGGGCGCAGGCGGAGAAGCAGGTGCGGGGCTCCTGGGCTCAGCTGGTGGTGAGACCCACAGAGGAAGCCAACACTCCAGACCGTCACCCCACTTTCTCAGAGGGGTGGGGTTCGGAGGCCCTGTGTGGCAGAGACTCCCTCAGACCCATCGATCCCTGTGGCAGAGACTCCCAGGCCAGGGACTGTCAGGGCTGGGAAGGCCCGAAGCCAGGGCAGACAGGGCCTCCGGTCCCTGACCTCAGCCTCTACCCAGGACCAGCCATGCCAGGAGCCCAGGACACCCAGAACCTTGGCCCTGGAGGCGACGGCCGAGCAGGGCTCACCTCCCCTGAGCCCCAGCACCAAAGTAGGTCGACCCCCGGGCCCCTCCCAGCTCACCACTCCCGGCACAGACTCGCGGGGATCCGGCCACTCTGGCCACTCTCCCGGGGCTTCGAGGCTCACGGCTCTGGCCTCTCTCCACAGCTCAGTGGCGGAGCCGAGGCCCTGGACTGCTCCCTCACAAAGAGGTCTGTCCGCCTGCTCCCGGGCAGGACTGGGGTTCAAAAGCAGGGGCTGGAAAGGGGCTGAGGGGCTGGAGCGGGGGCCTGAGCACACTGGGGGGATCGGCAGGCAGAGGCTGGTAGGACAAGACCTTCTCTCCCCAGCGGCGGCATGAGCAAGCCCCAGATGGCCGTGCCCACCTCCAAGATTGACCAGTGGCTGGAGCAGTACACCCAGGCCGTCGAGGTACAGCCCCACCCTCCCGCGCCCCCACAGGCACCCACCAGCACTCCCCCTGCTCGCCCTCGCCCAGACACGCCTCCGCCCACTGGTGCTCCCGCATCTGACAATACCTGTGCCACCTCGCCCGGGCCAGGCCTGCGCCATCTCACCACTACTACCTGGGATGAGAGGGTGTTTCCCAAGCATCCCAAATGGAGGCGCACACCTCTTTTGGGGGTACCCGCCCAGGCCTCCCTTGGGAAAGCCTTCAGGGGCAGTATATGGCGAAGCACCCCTCTGAAGAGTGGACATGCAGCCCCGTGGTGGGCCCACGAGACTGTCCACTAAGGCGGTCCTGGGGGCGCTTCCTCTGCAGACTGCTGCCCGGGCCCCCAAGCCAGCCCGCCAGGTCTCCATTGAGCTGCCCAGCATGGCCGTCGCGAACACCAAGAGTCTGTGGGAGAGTGGCGAGGTGCAGGCCCAGTCGGCGGCCAAGAGTGCCCCCTGCAAGGTCGAGCCGCCTCCCGGGCAGGGCGGGCACCCTTGCAGGCGGGGCGAGACTGGCTGGGCTCCACCACTGGGCCGGGCGGGTACTGGTCTCCCAGGGTGGCTGCCGTGGCCGGCGGCGTGGAGAGCCTGCGGGCCCGGGTGCCCACACAGGGGCCGGCGCAGTGGTGGGAGTGAGAGTTGGAGTCGAGTGGGTCTGGCCACCGTGACGCACCTGCCCTCCTCTCGCTCCAGGACGTTGTGGCTGGAGACATGAGCAAGAAGGGCCTCTGGGAGCAGAAAGGGGCCCCTGCAGCCTCGTCCACCATGAAGGTCGGTGCAGGGGGTGGGACAGGGCTGTGCTCCCGCTCTGGAGCCTCCCGCGCCTCCTCACGTCCCCTGCCCCGGTCTCCCCAGAGCACCCCGTCGTCCGGCAAGAAGTTCCGGTTTGTGGCCACCGGGCATGGGAAGTACGAGAAGGTGCCGGTGGACACGGCCTCAGCACCCTAGGTGAGTCTGGGTGGGTCTGGCGGCCTGTGCTTAGCGGCGCGGGGCCCAGGCTACAGACGGGCCTACTGGCCCCGGGGCCGGTGGTGAGGGTGGCCTGGCCACCAGGTCTCAGGCAGGGGGTGGCCAAAGCCTGGCCCCGGCAAACGCCGCTGCCCACACCCTAACATGGACCCAGGGGTGCTCCCCGCCCGCGTCCACAGTCCACGCTGCCCACCTTCCTCAGCGGGGGAGAGCAGCCCGCTCTGGGCAGGGCCAAGCCCCAGCTGGCCCCTCGGGCAGGCGAGGTGGTCCTGGCTGCAGCAAGGCTGGACTCAGAGCAGGAGGACCACACAGGCCCCGAGCTTGGGCCCCACGTAGGTGGGCAGAGGGTCTGGGCTGAAGTGTCAGATCCTGAGTGTCCTGCTCTGGCCACAGCCGAGGGCCTCTCGGTCCCCGCCCTGCCCTCCCCACCGGTGGAGACAGGAAGGTGGCCGGACGCATGGCGACACACTTTTATTGCTGGCCTGGGCCCCAGGACCCACGTCCATACCCACTCCCTTCCGGAGCGCCAGGCCTGGCCGCCTGCCACCCCCAGCCTGCCCCCAGCCCCCGCTTCTCCTAGAACCGCCGCACCCTCGCGTTGCCGCAGATCCCACCAAGGCTCTGCCTGGCCCCCTCAGGAATCGGGAGTGTGAACGGGGCCCCTTCTCTGCCCTTGAGCCACCCCTTCATCCCCCCACACTCTGCCCACCAGGTGGAGGGGGCAGAGCTGGGCAGGCAGGGGGACAGGGCGCATGCTCGTGGGCCTGGGCCGCGCCTGGGGGGCCGGGGTGGGAGCCGCCCGCCCTCCGCCCAGCCCCCAGGACCTTCTCAGCACCCCAGGCGCCCGGGTGCCCTCTTCGGGGTCCCGGCTCCCTCCCGGGCCGCTCTGCCCACCGCAGCCCTGGGCCCGGCCTGGGCCGTTACTGCCCCCTCCAGCCGGCCGCCGTGCGGTTGAAGTCTTTGGGCCGCGGGCTCAGCCCCAGCACAGGGGGGCTGGTGGGCGGGGGCCGGGTGGCCGCCCCCAGCAGCTTCCGGGCGTTGAAGCGGGGTCGGCACAGGAAGGGCAGGTGGCCCGGGCGGCTCGGTCCGTCCCTGGGCCCCTCTGGGCTGCAGGGGGCCTCGGCCAGCGACACGCGGTACAGCACGGCGTCCCACAGCCGGGAGGCCCGGGAGGCGGGAGGCCGCGGGGCCGGGCTGGCGGGGGCCGGCGCCTCTGGCTCCGAGGGCAACGGCCCCGGGGGTGAGGGTGGGGGCGCCCCTGCCTCCTCCATCAGTTGTTTCTTGAGGCGCATCCAGCCGCTGACCCGGGGCTCGGGCGCGACGTCAGGCCCCGGGCGCGGGTGGGGCCCCGACGGCGAGGTGGGGAGGGAGGCCTCCTGGGCGCTGGAGACCAGCTGGGTCACGGGGCCTGCTGGGGGAGGCCCCGCTGGGCGTTCAGCTTCAGGGGGTGCAGGGGCTGGCCCGTGAGGCAGTGGGGAGCGGTAGGTGGGGGCTATGGGCACCACGACCCGGGTGCTGGCCTCGCGGGACACTGGGGCCGGGAAGCCGGCGGGCGGCTTGGGCGCGGGGGGCCTCTCGGGCCGGGGGTGGGCAGCCTGGGCCCCCGCAAGCAGTGGGCGGATGTGGGCCACCGGGATCGGGGGCTGGGACTGGGGAGGCCCCCACTCTGGGGCCGTCCTGGGGGGCTCAGGCTCCCCGGCCCGTGGGGACGGCGTCTGGCTCCTGTGGGCGCTGCCCCCTGCGGGCCCGCCGGGGGCTGGGGCAGGCTCTGGAGCCTGGGCTGGGGGCCGGGGCCCGGGGGCTGGCGGGCGAGAGACCGAGCTCCAGGGCTCGGCGAGGCCGCAGGGCGAGGGGGCCTGGGCGCCGGGATGGGGGGGGCCCGGAGCTGGGCCGTGGGCTCCTGGTCGTGGCTGGCCTCGCTCACGGGGGACAAGGAGGCGCGGAAGGCCCCGGCCGAGGCCGCGGGGTGGCCCCCCGACATCCTCTTCCTGGCCGCCTTCCTCAGCAGTCTCTGCAGGCGCGGGTGGCCCTTCCCAGGTTTGGGCAGCAGTGGCGGCGGGGGCCCGGGGGGCCCCAGGGGGCCATGGGCAGCTGTCTCGGGGGGCGCGGAGGTGGTGGCGATGAGCATGACAGCACCTGGAGCCAGGAGGGACGGAGTCAGCCGCCCTGCCGGTCCCAGCCCCCAGGGACTCGCGACCCTCACGCGCAGGAGGCCCGAGGCAGGGCTGGCCCGTCCAGCGGGTCCAGCGCGTCCTCCGCACACCCGTGGGCCTGGGCGTGGGCCAGCCTGGCTGCCCACGGAGGACGTGGGGCGCAGGGCTTGGGGGGCTGGGCCGGCGCCCCTGCAGCAGGAAAGGCGCCCGGCCGCAGTGGGCAGCGGACGCCGCGCCGTCGCCAGCCTGACCACAGGCGCGTCCGCTGGAGCCAGTGGGGAGGGTGGCGGCCAGAGGCGCGGGAGGCCAGGCTGCGTCCTTGGAGGTAGACAGGCTGGGAGGTGGGAGCGATTTTCGCTGAGCTACGCTGAACAGGGTCCTCACAGCCCTCCCGGCCGGGGTGGTCCCGGCCAAGCCGCCCGCCCTGGGCTCTGGGCGCCACCTGCCCGCGAGGACATTGACAAATGGTGTCTGGGCCGCGCGGAGACCATCTGGCGGGGGAGGGGCGGCCGGCTCACGGGCTGCCTCTGCCCGCCAGAAGCCTGCCCCGGTGGGGGGGCCCGGGCTGCCGTGATGGCGCAGCTGCTCCCACCCCGGGCGTGGAACCCCAGGAGCCACAGGAACCCCAGGACTAGCCTGGGGGCTCCCGGCACGCACAGGCGGCGGCCCTCCCTCTGCTGAGAGGGTGTGCGGGCGGCCCGGGCCTGGAGCTTGGCCTGGGCGGCTTCCGAGGGAGCCCCCACTGGCCTCGGCCGGTGGAGTAGGGGACGGTTTGGGGCGCCAGGGTCTTGGCCCTCAAAATCAGGCTAACACTCCCACCCCAACCTGTGTTCCAGCTTCCCGAGACTGCCATGCAGGCCGGGGCCTCCAGGCTCTGAGCCAGATGCCACCCGCTTGCTGAAGAAGCCGCCAGACCCTCCCGGCTGCCACGCAGCCGCGGCCCGGCCCTCCAGTGCCCCCACCCCACTCGCCGCCCAGAGCCAGGCCAGGGAAGGGACTTGCCAATGGCTGCGGGACCACCGGGGCACCCCCAGCTCCCGGGAAGGCACAGCCGAGGCAGCAAGAGGCCCAGCGTCCAGCACACCCCAGGGACCTGGGGTCAAGAGCCACCGAAGCTGCTTGGCACGCTTGGGCGCTGCCCACCCCCCCCCCCCGGCTCCTCCCCCCCGGCTCCTCCGTGCAGTCTCCGTGCAATAAAGCTGCCCGTGGCCACGTGCCGGCTCCCCAGTGCTCGCTGACTGGAGGGGCCGCCAGGCCGGAAAGCCACCCCCACCCACACCGCCGCGGGGTCGCAGGCCTCCGGACCCCGACGCCGGCCGCGTGGGGCTTGAGGTCTGAGGTGGTGCACACAGTGGGTGGGGCGGCTCCTCTTCCAAAGCACCGGTGGCCTCTTGCCCGTCTGGAGAGGCGCTTCTCGCCCCCTAAAACCATGTGCAGCCTGCCTCGCACCTCTAACTGCCCTCCTGAGGGAGAGCCACCGTCCCCGCGGGTGCTCGCGAAGGGATGGTGGATGGACAGGCGGTGGATGACGGACGACAGAGGGCGGGTGGACGGACGGTGGGTGGTGGAGGATGGATGGCGGACGGGTGGACGGATGGCGGATGGTGGAGGATGGATCGAGGGATAATTGATCGGTGGGAGGCTGCGTGGGGGAATGGATGGGGGTGCATGGGGGAGAAGGAAGGGGCAAGTGGGCGACCATGCGGAGAAAGGCAGGCAGGGAACGGCCGTGGGGGGGACGGAGTGGGGCGCAGGAGGAAGCGGAGTGCGAGGACGGACGTGAGGGAGGGGTTGCGCGGCGGCTGCCCTGGTGGGGTGCAGTGGACCCCTGGCCCTCTCCAGCTTGTCCTCTTCTCCCTGGACCTGCATCCGGTCTGACATCGGTCCCCCAAGTCCGGGGAGCCCCTTTGAAGAGCAGGCCCCTGGACCTTGGTGTTCTAGACCGGGTCCGCTCGGAACCTTCCCGGACGCGTCACGGTCAGCCTGCCTGCCTGCCGCCCGCTGGGAAAAGTGGGTCCAGGCAGCTGGAAACTTCCAGCACAGCAGGACATGCCCCTTCAGGACATCCAGGGCCGTGGCCTGCAGCCAGGCAGCAGCGCCGGGTGCACGCTGCTCACCCCCACCCCCGCCGAGTGGGCTGCCAGCAAGGGCAGCCAGGGGTGTCCAGCCAGCCCTCTGGGATCCGCAGCCCCGGACCTGTCCCTCTGATGCAGTGGAGGTCCTGCTGTGTGCCATCCCGTCCAGCCACGGCCAGAGCCGAGGGCTGGGCAGCTCTGGGGGTCCCGGCCAAGTGTGGCTTGGGGAGTCAGGGCGCTGCCTCCCACTCTGCCCTGCGACCGCTCCCAGCTGCGGGCAGTGCAGGGACACCCCCCCGTACCCGCTCGGCCAGCGCTCCCCAGCCATGCTGTGCCAGCAGCTTCTATCTGGGGCCTGGCAGAGCTGCAGCCGGCCCACTGCGAGGGGGAGCTGGCAGCAGCGTGGCCCGGTCAGCCCAAGGTCCCCCGGGGCCGCCACCCCCATCCCACCACCCCCGGGGCCTGTCCACGCCCCTTGGCACTGCTCGAGCCAGGGTTTGGGGGCACACAGAGCCCCTCCCGCCCCCAGCTGCCCGCTTCACACGGGCCAGAAGCCCCCATCTCGGGCCGGGCCTGGCCCAGCGTCCTTCCCAGTTCCCTGGGGCGAGCCCAGTCCCCGGCCCCAGGAACCCTGGCCTGCTGCCCTATCCCACCCCCGCCCCGGCCAGGCCAGGTGGGGCCAGGTGCGAGCTACCTGCTGCAGACCCTCAGCCTGGCGGCCCGTCCTCAGTGCCCACGGCTGCTGTCCGGCTATGCCGCAAGCTGAGTCCTGGAGCCCCGGCAGGAGGTCGCCAACACCCAAAATAAAACCTCCCCGTCCCTCTGACCTCAGTGCGGCCCGCTGGCTCGGCCACTCACACACAAGCACCTGCCAGGGCTGAGGCCGCAAGCGGGCAGCTGCCTCCTCTGGGCAGACGGAGCCCTGCAGGTGAGCCCTTGGCCAACCCGGGCCAGGGCCAGAGAGGTCCCGCAGGCCACCCAGCGGCCAGGGCTCAGGGCTGGCCTGTCCAGTCCCACCCAGCACCTGGCCAGGTGGGGAGGCATCACTGGGGCTTGGGGTTCGGCCAGGGGGTCTCCCCATGGCCACAGACATTGGGCGGTGGGCGGGCAGCCGGGCCCTTCTGTGTGACACCCCTGCTGTCTCTGGCCCCTGCAGCCTTGTCCCTGGTGGGTGGGGTGGCAGGAGGGGCCACAGATGCCTGGGACGCCCCAGTTGGGCAGCTGGGGCCGGGGCCTCTGAGCTGGCGTCCTGGGCGCTGGCCAGCTCCTGGGGGCAGGCAGCGGGCAGACCCCCTCCTTGCCTGTGGGTCCAGCCTGAGTCTCCAGTGTCTTCAGGCTGCTCTCCCCACCCAGAGCCTCGGTTTCCTGAACCCAGGCAGGGGCTCCGGAGCTGTGGCCTCACTGGTCAGTGTGGGACATGCGGCTTCTGTGTCTGGGTGTGCTGGCGCCCCCTGTGGGCAGCGCCACGAGGCTGCAGGGCAGAGACCCGGCGTGGGACCTCCAGGTGGGGGCAGGAGCGTGGCCCGCCAGAGCACGCCAGCCCTGGGGAGACACACCCCGTGTCCGGTTGTGTCCTGCCCATTCAGTCCACCTGCTCTGACGGTGCCCCCCGAGAGCTGGCGCTGGCCCCCGAGGAGGCTCGGGAGAGAAGACCTCAAGGGGATCCTCCACTGTCCACCCACCCAGGGCGTCTCCGGGAGCTCCTGACGGGAAGACGGTGGACACGGACTCTGGCCAGGCAGGGCAGCCCCCACAGGGAAGGCCCCCCCCCCCCACCCCCCCGCCCCCTGGCCCCGCCTCCCTTCACCCTCAGGCATCAAAAATGTGCCCACCGTGGGGTGGGGGTAAAAATAGAAGCTGACACTGCTGGGGTGGGCCTCGCCCCGGCCTCACCCCTCGCACCGCCTCGATATTCCTATACTTGGTAAGGCACCCCAGGCTCGGCCCCCGCCCACCCACGTGCCTGGCCCGGCTGACCAATGGGCTGTGGGGACGCCCCGGCGCCTCTATATCATGGCAGGCCGCGGGCGGGCCTGAGCCCGTCCTGTCCACAGGGAGCCTGTCCTTGCCTAGACCGGCCACAGGTGGGTCGGGGCACGGCCTCGGGCTGGGTGGGCCTCACCCCGGGTACCACGGTTCCGGCAGGCGGTGGCGGCCTCTGGACCCCAAGCCAGGCACCAGGAGCACCCAGGTCTGGGGTGGACGGTGCCAGGGGTGACCTTCTCCCATTCCCGGCCAGACTCGGGGCAGGGGCGCGGCGAGAAGGAGGCGCCTGGGTTCCTGGGGAAGGCCCTGGCGAGGCCCGGCCGGCTAGAGCTGGGAGCAGCCCAGCCTCGGCCACCTGCTACCCGCCTGGCCTTCCGCGGCCCCCCACAGCCAAGGCCTGAGCTCCCCCAGCTCTTCCCCGGTGGTGCGCTGGCTGCTTTCACAGTCACACAGCCGCTCAGGGGCTGCTCCCAGTCACCAGCAGGACCTGAGGGGTGCGGGGAACCCCCGAGTGTGAGCTGGGAGGAGCTCGAGCTCCCAGAGGCCCGCCCTGGTCCCAGCTACCCTTCCCCGTGCCCCCTGGGCTGGGGTGCAGCTGCCCCCCAGAGGCACCAGCCTGGGTCCACAGCTGTCCCACGCAGATGGGGCGGTGCAGGCACGTGGCCGGGCCAGAGCCAGCAGGGACACCCCCACCCCATCTGGTCACCTGGGAAGGCATGCCTGTCCCCAAGGCCGCTGACTCAGAGACTATTTCCACGCCCCCCCTCGGGGAGCGTGCCTCACTGGGCAGCTGTCCTTCTCAGCTGTCCAGGGCCACTCTGCCCTCACCCCCCACCGGGCAGGGCAGCCGCAGGCACCTCCAAGGACTGCAGCCCAGGACCTGGGTCTGCCCATGAGAGGCTTTTGCTGCCTCCTGCCAGGGGCCACAGGAGAGCCCTTGGACCTCCACCAGGAGGGCAGGGGACCCCTGCCAGGAGGACAGGGAATGGCTCCCCAGGAGCGGGGGGGGCATGCTGTGGCCCCCGAGGTGCAGGCTCACGTGGCCCTCCCATCTCCTTGGGTTTCTGGGCTGACTTGGGTGCCTATTTCTGGATCCCTCAGCTGCCCCCGCTCCCTAAAATAGCCCTCCTTGGTGTCCAACAGCTGCCTGGCCAGGGTGGAGGTGGGCACGGCAGGGGGTGGTCACACCAAGGACCCCGTGCCTTGGACAGTGCCTGAGCCGGGAGGGGCTGCGCCTGCAGGATCTGGGGCCGGCGTGGGGCCGGGAGGCGGGCGGCGCCGGCCAGGATCTGCTGGTTAATCTTGCGTGGAGCTGAAGGTGCTCTGGGAAATCAACATTCTTGACAGAGGCTTCGGAAAACAGTCCCGCCTCAGTGAGGCCGTACGGACGCATTTTTCGATGATGAACTTGTGTTTTTCTTGCACGAGGCTCCCTGGGGGGGTAACTATTGTCTTCAAGTGAGCTGTGATGTGCTGGGAACGGGCCAACTTTCTGAGGCAGCTGCCCCGGCCTCCCCCGGCCGGGCCAGCCCAAGGGAGGACACCCCGCTGGAGGCCCACACCTGGACACGTGAGGCCAGCGTGGACAAAGCCTGACAAAGTCCAGAGTCCGCGGGCCTGGGAAGGAGGGGCTGGAGGGGCCTCCCGCCCGCTCCTTCTGGCAGGCCAGGGATGCAGGAGAGAGGCCGCCCTGCCCCCAGCCCGCCTGCCCTTAGCTGCAGGGGCCCAGTTCCCCAACGTGGGGCCAGGGAGCCCGGGGAAGGTGGCCGTGGCAGGAAGGCCTCCACAGAGAAGGGTGCTGTGGGGTCACACAAGAAGGCTGTTCCCGTCTGGGGGCACCCCCTGCCCCAGAGCAGAGACTACGAGGAGCCCCCCAGGCTTGCGGTGGTCGGCCCGCCCTGGCGCGGGGTCTCAGCCTGCTCTAGGGCCCCCTTGGGGCCCACAGAGAGGATGTCTGCTCTGGCCAGGGGGCCCCTCGACCTCCCACATCCCGTCCAGCAGGGGATTCCAAGGGCTGCTTGGAGCCAGGGCAGGAAGGGGTGGGATGGGATCCAGGCCTGGACAAGGGGCCTAGGAGCCTGCAGCTTGGAGGAAGCTGGGGGCTGCTCAGGAACCCCCACAAGCAGGAGGCCCATGAGTGGGGACCCCTGTGCTTAGATGTGCCCCGAGCCCCCAGCCCCCTTCTATGCCCGGAGGCTCCTAACTGCCCCTCTCCCTCCTCTCTGCAGAACAAGCCCCACCATGTCTGACGAGGAAGTGTGAGTAGCCCCTGCCCGCTGGCCCCCGCTTTGGCCTGCAGCCACCCCCGCGAGCCCCCCTCACTCGCTCTTTCTCTCCCCCACAGTGAACAGGTGGAGGAGGGTAAGTGTCCCGCTCAGCAGCCAAGGGGGGGTGCCTCCTGGGGGGCCTCTGACCCAGCTGCAGCCTCAGCTCCTTGGGGGACACATCTCTGAGCCTCGTCGGGCTGACCCCCCGGGGCCCCGCGTGCCCATGGGTCTGGCCAGTCTGGGGTGGGGGGATGTGGGTGTCCAGGGCCCAGACAGCCGCCCCCCCGCCTGCCGCCTGGCCTGGGTCTGACTCGCGTCTGTCTGTCCCTGCAGAGCAGTACGAGGAGGAAGGTAACGGCTGCCTGACCGCCCGGCCACGTGGCCGCCAGAGCGCGGGCCACCTTGTGGGCCGCGGCATGGACTGACCGGCAGCTCCCGCCGCCCCGGGCATGCTCAGCCCCTCCACAGGCCCCCGCCCACCCTCGGGGGCCTGCCATGCCTCCCCCTGCCACCCCTCCCTCTGTCTCCCTGCGTGTCCTGCCCCCGGCTCTGTGGGTGCAGCCTGGGTCTGGGCAGGGAGCCGTCCCACTCTCAGGCCAGATGGGAGTGCCCCCAAAATTGCTGGCACCCACTCACCTGGGGGGCACCCCCGCACTTCTCAGCCTGCCGTGGGCCCTCGGGTGCTGGGTCTGAGGGATTTCTGCGGACCCCGACAGGGAGGAGGAGTCTCTGCTGACAGGCGGGGGGCCCATGTCTGTGCCGGGAGCATGGTCCTGGGCTTTCTGGGGAGGCCACGTGCTGCAGCACCCCCAGGGGGGCCGGGCAGAGGGGCGCCCATAACACATGGCCCGCCCCGGCCCCCTCCAGCACCTACAGAACCCCTCAGCCAGGCCCTCCCGGGTGGGGGATCCCTAGGCAGGGGCCAGGCCCGGAGGGCCGAGGGGCTCAGCCACCCAGGCCTGGGGCGTGGCCCTGCCCAGGTGCCCACGGCAGGGCCGGGCATTCAGGGCGACCCAGGGGGCCTGTCCTGCGCCGGGGCGGCCTCTAATCCTGTCCTCGCTCCTCTCTCCATTCCCTGCTGCTCCTCACAGAAGCAGCCCAGGAGGAAGGTGAGTGGGGTCCAGGACCCGGCCCCACAGGCCCTCTCTGAGCCCCGCCCCGGCCCCATCCTGCTGCCCCCGCCTGCCCGCGCCCCACCCGGCCACAGTCCCTGCCCCGTGTGTGTGCATCAGACTGACCCTCCTCTCTCCTCCCACCCCCACCGGTGCCCTCTGCCCGCAGAAGTCCAGGAGGAAGGTATGGCACAGGACTTCTGGTCCCCATGTGGGGCCCGGGGCCTGGCTGGCGCCGCGTTGGGGGAGGGTGTGGCGCCAGCCAGCCAAGGGGCCCCCCATGTGGCCCCCACTAACCACTAACCATGCATGCTTGACCGGAGGGAGGACCTGAGGGCCAGGCGCTGCCGACACAGGCTGGCTGGCCATGGCGGTGGCCCCTGCGCTGGGCTCTCTGTCCCTCTGGCTGAGCCCCAGGCAGCCAAGCCGGCCCCCAGGCAGCATCGGGCAGTGCAGGGCCTGGCCCTGTGTGCTCCCCCAGCCCGGACCCGCTGCTGCGGAGTCCTTGATCCTCAGGGGGAGCTGCCGAGGGGCGCGGGGGCAAGTATGCTGCTCCAGGGCCAGGGGCCACAGTCCACAGCGGTCTCACCGCCGCACGGGCAGCAACAGAGCAGGGGCAGGGCGAAGGCCACTCTGTGCCTCAGTGTCCCCCCCATGAGGCGGGAGCGGGCGCCAGTGACCCCTCCGCCGGGCCGGAGAGAGGGCTGCAGGGCCTGGAGTGACACCGCCAGGTCGTGCTGATGTCCTGCATGCCTGCCCCTTGACCTTGGCCACTGACCTCCGACCCCATTAACCACCTCCATCCTTTCTCCTTTGACCTCTGACCCGTGTGCGGTTTTGCCTCTTGCTCCAACGTCTTCCTCCCCCGCGAAGCCCCTGAACCAGGTATGCGCATGACTCGGCCGTGGCCTGCGCGCGGCCGTGGGCGCCGTGGCCCGTGGGTGTGAGCAGGAGCAGGGCCGCCCGCCCAGGCTCACGTGCCTTTCTCCCTCTCTCCACCATGTGCCGCCTCCGCAGAGGAAGTCCAAGAAGGTATGGCCCCCCTGGCCGCCCCCTCCCCACCCGCCGCCCGCTGCCGCTGCCTCTGCCGCCATTCCCGGCTGGGCCCCGGGGGTGCCCATCCACACTCGGGGAGGCCATCTCCCTGGGCCTCAGCGGGAAGGGGGGCGAGTGCCGAGCTGAGGGGCTGCGGTGCAGGCCTGGAGGATGGTGCCGGGGTCCACTCGGACCCGCTGCCCCCCAGGTGGCTGGGGAGAGCTGAGGGAGAGGCAGGCCTGCCCCACAGAGCGGCCAATGCCAGGCACGGGGCTGCAGGGGCGCGTGGGGTGGAGCAGAGCAGAGCTGAGGCCCAAGTGGGGTCAGGCACGGGAATAGCCTGGGCCTTGAGTGCCAAGGAGCCATCAGTCAGGCCCTCCTGCCTGGGCCTCCGCCAGACACGCCCGCAGGCGCCCACTGCAGATGCGGGGGCTTTAGTTCCAGGAGGCCGCTCAGCCTCCCCATCCATGCCTCGCTGTGGGCAGGGGCCCCAGTGGGCCGGGACCCCAGGCGAGGGCCCTCCCCTGGCCTCGGGCACCTGTGGCCCAAGGGCCTCCACTCCCCTCCCCACACCGTGCCTGAGCCCGGCCAGGGGCTCCTTCCTGAAGCCCGGAAGGAGAGGAGCTTCCCCTGCCAAGCCCAGGGACTCGTCCCAAAGTGCCCACCAGCCGCCGCGCTCCAGGGGCTGGCCAGGTGGGTCAGGCCCTGGCGCCCGCATGGCATGGGAGCCTGGGTGCAGCGGGAGCCCGGCCCTCTGCAGCGAGGGGCTATGAGGCCCACCCCCCTACCCACAGCCCACGTCCTGGCCACACGCAGAGGGAGGGGCTGGGGCAAGACCCAGCCAGCCTCCCTGGGTCAGCGGCCTCCGTGGGGCCAGACAGGCTGAGGCCGGTGCATAGGGACGGACTGTCCTTGCCACCACAGGCCCAGGGGCAGGGACTGAGGGCCAGAGAGCAGGACTCCCACAGCATCCAGGGTCTCTGGTAGGGCTGGTCAGCGGCCAGAGGTCAATCTGGCCCAGGCCTCGTCTGGGACCACCGGTGCCAGCTGACAGACAAGCCTGGAGGAAGCCCCTTGAGGCTTGGGGGGCAGATTCCCTTGGGGCTTCAGGTGTCCCCTCGGGGCCGCAGGGCCCACTGGAGCGGCAGAGCGGACATATGGCCTTGGCCACTCACACTCGGGCCCTTGGGTGGGGACTGGCCGGCCTTTCCAGGCACCAGGAGGCTTCACAGCCCAGTTGCCCCAGATCTGCTGGGCCTCAACCCGGCGGGTGCCAGGAGGCAGGGCCCAGCACCCCAGGCTCCCGAGCAGGGTCTCCCCGGCCACCCCCAGCAACAGGCACCGTGAGCAGCACCGCCGGCCAGCTGGGGCCCCGACCGCGCAGGAAGGGGTGTCCCTGCACCGTCTCGCGCCCCACTCGGCCACTCTAGGGGGTCCAGGCGCCCCCCTGGCCAGCCGGGCCCCACCCCTGCCCGCCTGCGCCCACGCTGCCCTGCAGCCTCGCCAGCTTTTCTCCCTCTGTGCTTGTGCCGGAAGACGCCGCCCAGCAGGAGCAGGAGGACGAGGGAGGTAAGGCCGCTGGGCGCCGCCGCGGGCTCAGGCGGAGGGGCCGGGAGCGGAGGACGCCTGGCGAGCTGCTCCTCTCCTCCGAAGCCCGCCCGCCTGCCGCCCGCCTGTCTGTCTGTCCCTGCCCGGCGCGGCCTCGGGGCCAGGCCTCGCTGCTTCGCCCGGCTTCCGCACAGCACAGGGGTGGCCAGTGGGGACCGGCCAGCAGGCCAGGAGCCGGGGCGGGCTGCTCCTCCCCTCCTTCAGCCCCCTCGCCCAGGGCCTCTCCCCCACCCCTGCTCCCTCTTCCTCCAGCGCCCCTGCCCCACGCCCAGCGCTTCCTCCACGCAGCCCAGACCCTCTTGCGGGCTGGCCGGGCGGGCGGGGCAGCTGCCCAGTGAGGAGCCCGGGGAGCACCTCGGGCTGGGCCCGCTCACCGCGCTCTCTCTCCCCTTCTCCCCATGCTGTGCTGGGCCCGCCAGAGGAGAAGCCAAGACCCAGGTGAGTGTGGCTGGCAGGGTGGGTGTGGCGGGCAGCGAGTGGGTGGGCAGAGGGCACGGGGGTGACTCTGCAGGGCCTGTGGGGGCCAGACTCAGAGGACGCGGCTGTGTCTTTGCTCTTCCCTATGGTGCTCGAGGGGCTCCGGAAGGCCGACCCCCGCAGGCTGGGCAGATCCTCCCGGGCTGTCACCCAGGGGCCGGCAGACGGACCCTGGAGGTCCCGCGTGTGGCCCTGCCCTGGGCAGCCAGTGCAAGCTGGAGGCCTTCCTGCAGGAGGGCACTAAGGGCCAGGGAAGGAAGGGACCAGGAGATTGGGGAGTCAGCAGGGACAGGGACCTGAGCTCCCTCTTGCCCTCTCAGCACTTGCTGTGCTGTGGGGTCTCCCAGGGCCGTGGAGATGACACAGTTCTGAAGGTGGGACCCCTTGGGGTGAGGCCCTGGCCCCCCACCGGCTCCCGCTGCTCCTGGGCCCTGGCGCCCCCCTGGCGCAGGCCCTGGCTCTGCCCTTAATCCTGTTTCCCGCCTGGTCCTGATAAGCACCAGGCCCCAGGCTTGGCCCTCCCAGGCCGGCCCCCGCCCCTGCCCCCGCTCTGCAGGTGGGTCCAGCCCAGACTGCGCCGCCGGTGCCGGCTCGGGGGGGGGGGGGGGCGCGAAGGGGTCTCGAAAGGAAGCGGAGGCCGCAGCCCCGCCAGCACCCCCGCCCGCTGTGCTTTATTTTTCAGCAACTTGAAGTCGGGCTGCAGGTCACGAGATGGTTTCTAGCTCTAAAAAAACGCGTGTGCTTTCATTATGAAAATACAGCACCTCGTTAAAGAAAATTTGGAAAATACGTAAAAGTCAAACGCAGAAAAAAGCCCTGTGTAGTCTCCCGCCCCGCCGCCAGCCGGGCGAGCGGAGGGAATAAGGAGGGTATTCTCCCCGCTCTTTTTCCATGCAGCGGGCGTGGAAAAAAAGACGCCAGCCGTTTGCAAACACCGTCCTTCTGTGCACCTTGAATTGCGCTTTTCTAGAACCGGGCATGATTCTAACCATTTTTCCATGTTTTGACACCGGCTTCGCAAATATTTTGAATGGCCACATAATATTCCATCCGCGGCCGGGCCGGCTTTCTGGGCCGTCTGCGCTCCCGGCCGCCAGGCTCTGCCATATTTCACTCTGCTGCGGAGGCCGGCGGGAGCCGCGCTGTCTCGGGGCTATTTCCCTAGGCCGCCTTCCCAGAACTGGAACCGCCGGGCCAAAGAGTAGGGGCCTTCATGGGCTCCGCGGCGCCTGCCAAATCGCTTTCCACGCGGACGTGAGCGGCGTGCCCGCACCCTCTCCGCCGCCGGCCACCGACGAGCTGGCCTTGTTTTCCTTTGCATTCCTTCCCTGCCCGGCAGCCCTCGCCCCAGCCGCGGCCTGTCTCTGCTGGGGGCGCTGGGAGCTCGCCCCGCGCCCACCGGCCCTGGCCGAGGCCGCTCTGTGTTTTCTTAGTCGTCGGTTTGCACAGGCGAGCAGCCGCTGTATTTGCTGAAAATGTTTTTCTAGTCTGGGTGGGTTCCCCCTCCAGCTTTGCCTCTTTCCACATCCATAAGTTTCCCATCTGCAGGGGAGCATCTGGCCGTCTCTCCCCACGCAGGACTTCTGGGGCGCAGAGCCGGATCTCCCCGCCCAGCATTTTGATCGATATTCAGCCCCACACTCGTCCAGGGAGGGTTTTTAGGACGGTCGTTGTTGTTTTAACTTTTGCTCCATCTGGAATGTGGGGGGCGGCGTGTAGGCCGCCGGCCGGGGCCTCATGTCCCCCTCAGACGCTCTCTGCACTGCGCCCCTCCCCTCGAGGCCCCCAGAAAGAAAGACAAAAGCGAGGCCAGCGCAACAAGATGCCCCTACCCACGGCCAACGAGCCCCTGCCCTCGGCGGGCCGGCTGCCCTGTCTTAAGGACGAAAGGCCCCTAGGGGCTCTCCCGCACAGCGGGGGTCCGGGCCAGAGAGGGGCTGAGAGCTCCGAAGGTGGGCACTTGGCGCGTGAGGACAGAGTGAACGGCAGGGCCAGGAGGAGCCCGGCCTGGGTGGCGCAGCCCGGCCCCCTGCTCACAGGCCTCTCTCTCTTTCAGACTCACGGCTCCTAAGATCCCGGAAGGGGAGAAAGTAGATTTCGATGTAAGTTGCTGGAGCTGGGTCAGAACCCGCCCTGCCCCCCCACGGGGGAGCCCGGCCCCTCGGAGCAGCCCGAGCGAGGCATCCTGGTTCGGGCAACTCTGCCCAGACTCACCGTGACCTCAGGCGGCTCTGCAGCGACAGGCCCCGCTCTCCCTGCTCCCCGGGGCCCGTCCATGTGCCTGCCCACTCGTGGGCTCCCCCACCCGTGAGTCCTTCAGCGGCTCCCTCTGCCATCCACACGCTCATCCATCCGCTCGTGCGGCCACCCGCCCACGCCCTGCGCCCACCCCCGGGCTCCCCGTCCCGCTCCATCCAGCTTCCTCTTCCTCTGACCCTCATCCGCCTGCTCACCCTCGGTCACCATCCACTCATCTGCCCGCTCTTGCGTCCACCCCTGCCCGCCCACCCGTTCATCTCCCCACACGTCTGCTTGTCTGATGAATAATCTCACCCACCACATCCCTCTCCCCTGGCCCTCGCAGGCGTCCCTGAAAGTGATGCTAAGGCAGTGCACCCAGGGGTGCCGCGAGCTCAACCGTGCATGGGGGGGCGTCCTGCTGGCTGCAGGGTCAGGCGGCCCTGGGCCCCCTGGAGGGCCCCAGGAGGTGGGGGCGGGGTCTCCGTGCTCGGGCAGGCCCTGGCTGACGCCCACCGTCCCCCAGGACATCCAGAAGAAGCGCCAGAACAAGGACCTGATGGAGCTGCAGGCCCTCATCGACAGCCACTTCGAGGCGCGCAAGAAGGAGGAGGAGGAGCTGATCGCGCTCAAGGAGCGGATCGTGAGTCGCGGCGGGGGCGGCCGGGCGGGCGCGGGCCGGCCACGCGCTGACCCCTCTCTGGCCGCAGGAGAAGCGCCGGGCGGAGAGGGCCGAGCAGCAGCGGATCCGCGCCGAGAAGGAGAAGGAGAGGCAGAACAGGCTGGCGGTGAGCCCCCCGGCGGGCCCCCCGTCCCCCCGCACCGGCCCAGGGCTCCCCGGCGGCAGAGGCAGCCCCGACTGGGGCTCTGAGGGCTCCAAGCTCCCGGGGGTCTGAGCTCCGGGGACCCGAACCCGGGCGGGCCGGGGAGTACGCTGGGAGGGGCAGCCCCGGCCCGCGCCGAAGGCCTGGGGTCTCCGCAGGAGGAGAAGGCCAGGCGGGAGGAGGAAGACGCCAAGCGCCGGGCGGAGGACGACCTGAAGAAGAAGAAGGCCCTGTCCTCCATGGGCGCCAACTACAGCAGCTACCTGGCCAAGGTGAGGCGCCCGCCCCCGCCACCTGCCGCCCGCCGCCCGCCGCCCGCGCTGAGCCCCCGCCCCCCGCGCCCCGCAGGCCGACCAGAAGAGAGGCAAGAAGCAGACGGCCCGCGAGATGAAGAAGAAGATCCTGGCGGAGAGACGCAAGCCCCTCAACATCGACCACCTGGGCGACGACAAGCTGAGGTGGGAGGCGGCCGCACCTCCGGGGCCCCCTCCCTCCTGGGGCTCCCTCCCGGGGGTCTTTCTCTCCTGGGGCTCCCTCCCGGGCGCCTCCGGGGCTCACCGGGCCCCTCCCGCTCCGGCCCCCAGGGACAAGGCCAAGGAGCTCTGGGACACCCTCTACCAGCTGGAGGTGGACAAGTATGAGTTCGCGGAGAAGCTGAAGCGTCAGAAATACGATGTGAGTCTGGGCCCCGCGGTCAGCACCACCCGTGTCCCAGCCTGGCCCCCAGTAGACCTCGCAGGCTGGCCTGGGCCACTCTCCCGCTGGGGCCACGCGGGCCCATCCAGCAGCCCCTGCCCGGGGAGCCAGCACGAGCCACAGGACGCAACGGCCTGGGGTCCAGCTCCTGCTTGTCCGGGGCCAGGGGCGAGTCCCGCGGCTCCCCCAGGCAGCACCACATCTCTCAGGCCCTGGCCGTCCTCTCCTCCCAGTCTCCTCCAAGCCCTTGACTGAGGGACAGCGGCTGGGCTCCCGTGGCTGCTGGGGTCACTGCCTGGAGGCCCCGAGAGGAGCTCCTAGGCCAGAGCAGACCCCACGGACCCGGGTCTCCACTCCTGGGGCACCAGTGTGCCCCGCTCCCCTCCAGGGCACTGCTCTCAGGTGGGCTCCGCACTAGGGAGGCTGGGGTGCCTGTGGGGCCCCAGAGTCTGTGCCAGGCTCTCCTGTGCCTGCGTCTCCAGGGCGGGCCTCCCAGGCCCCCAGGGGCTGTGCACCCCTCCGCCGGCCACAGGGCCCTCCCTGTCCCCACGGCCCGGGAGCACGGGCTGCGGAACATCTGCCCACACGGAGCCCGGACCACCTGTGCCGCAGGCTGAGGCAGGGACCCCCACGGCGGGTCCCCAGGACCACGGCCGTCCACCCAGCCCGTAACCGTCTCGGTCTTTCTAGATCATGAATGTCCGGGCCAGAGTGGAGATGCTGGCCAAGTTGTAAGTAGCCGCGTCCGCTCGGACCAGGCTCGCGTGTGCAGTGCACGGCACCTCCGCATGGCAGACGGTCTCGCGGGCGGGTGTGGCGGGCTCGGAGAGAGGCTCCTCCTCCCCGCCCGCCGCCCCGCTCCGGCCCGGCCAGGCTGCCCACTGTCCTCGTTGGCAGATGGGCTTGGCCTCTGGCCGCTGGCAGGCAGGGGCAGCCGGGCAGGGCGAGGGCCTCGGCTCCAGCCTCCCCTCAGCCCTAGCCCGCGCCCCAGGTCCTGCCTGCTGAAAGGTAAGTGGCCAGCGCCAGAGCTGCTGTGTCAAAGGCCAGTCTCCAGCCCCGGCCACTGCCAGAGGTCACAGGCGCGAGCCCGGGGCCCGCGGGCCAGGACTGTGGAGCACGTGCCCCGGGTGGCCTCCCCGCCCGTCACACGGGCCGCCTGTGTCGTCCACAGATCACCAACCTCAGGAGCCGCATCGACCAGGCCCAGAAGCAGTGAGTAGCCGCTGCCCGCTCCACGCAGGGCACAGCCCACGGGGCTCCCACATACCCCCGGGGCCTGGCCACTCGAGCCAGCCCCCAGGCGGCCTGTGGGGCACCCCGAGCGGAGCAGTAACAAGACTAACTGGCCCCACAGGCCAGCACGTCCGGGGCAAGCCCTGGACCCTGCCCACCCTCAGAGCCCCAGGGACAGTGGTCAGGCCGGCGGGAGGCCAAGGCCTGGAAGGTGGGGGCCTGGCCAAGCCGACTGGCCCTGTGCTCATTGGCAGTGTCCCCCCGAGGGGCTGGGCACGGGGTCAGAGGCCTGAGGGTGGGGTCTGAGGTTTCTGCGCCCTTTCCATGGCCTGGGCCTCCCTGGTGCCCTGAAAGCATGTCCTCCTCCCGGAGGCCGGGGAACGACCTCTGTCCCGGGCCACACGTGAGGCAGGGCTGTGCCCTTGGGAGCTGGCCTGTGTGTGGCTGCATGTGCGTGTGGACTCGGGGCCTCCTGCAGAGTGGGTCACAGAGTGTGCAAAGGGACAGGACCCGCCTGCTGTGCTCTGACTGGCCCTGGCCCCCTGGGGGCTCCTGAGGGCCTCAGGCTTCTGGGGGTACAGCTGGGTGGCTGCAGAGTCCTGCCTCCCTGGTGACCACAGGACTGAGAGGGTGGAGTGACCAGAGGCCTCAGGGTATGAAACAGCAGGCCAGGCCTGCCGGGTGGTGGTGGACACACACCTGCTGCAGGAGGCCACGATGCGGGGGGCACACTCTGTCCAGGCCAAAGTAACTGGGGGCCATCTGCGGACAGCTTGGGGGGTGCACTGTCCTAACCACACTAACTGACTGGCACCAGGCCCCACCCAAGATGCAGGTGAGTAGCCGTGGCTTGGAGGGAGCACGTGAGGGGCTTCGGCCACCTGGACACGCTGGCCCAGTGCCAACTCGCTTTCACTTCCCATTTGCAGCAGCAAGAAGGCCGGGGCCACCGCCAAGGGCAAGGTCGGTGGGCGCTGGAAGTAGGAGCAGCGCCCAGAGGTGGAGACCCTTGCTCCCTCACTGGGCCCCCTGCAGCATCCAGCCCTCAGGCCCGGGCAGGGTGCCCGCCCCAGAGCACCCCACGTCTCTGCCCTCACTGCCCCCGCCCCCGGGGTCTGTGAATAAAGCTCTGACCCCCCTCACCTGGTGTGCTCTGGCTCATAATGGAGGCGCTGTGGGGAAGGGGTTGGGAGGGGCCATGCAAGTGGCCACAGGCAGCCCGGGGACACCAGCTGCTCATCAGGGCTGCTCGGGAGGTGACCGACGCTGGCCAGGGCACCCTCCGGTCCCCGAAGCCCCGCCTGGCCAGAGTCTGATCTCCCCTGGGCCCCACGCCCACGCCTGCCCTCCCTGCTGCCCCAGGGTGCCCGCTCCTTCAGCTCCACTGCCAGTCTTGGGGCAACAGAGCTTCACTGTTGGGGTGCACTGCGGCAAACTTCACGAGTGCCCTGGGGCTGTGTGCGGCACCCTCAGTCTGAGCCCAGGTGGGTGGAGCTCTGGGAGCAGAGACTGGGTCAGGGCGGCCCAGCCCCAGGAGGGGCTTTCAAGGTGGGAGCCCCCCCGCAGCCTGCACGGCACTGGCAGTGGTGGGGCCCACCGGGGGTGCGGGAGCCGGAACCCCACGGCGTCAACCCGACCCCCACTGCACGGCCTGCCGGCGCCCCCAGGTACAGTGCCCCACACCCCCCAACATGAAGTGGCTCCGCGACCACAGCCGGGGCCCCAGGGACGGGGACCCCTCCTGTGCCCCAAGCTGGGGGCTCGGCTGGGGACGGCACATGTCAGGGTCTCCGAGGTACCAGGAGGGTCCAGGCGGGGCTGGGCTCCAGGGGCCCCAAGGCCCCGTCAAGGCCCCGCACGGCGGCCGGCCCCAGGGGCGCGGAGCGGGGCCAGCAGCGGGGGAGGCGCAGCGCACACGGGCAGGGCCAGGCCCCAAGTTGCAATAAGTTAAACATCTAATTCAAGAAATTAGAAAATGAACAAAAACTAAAACCAAGAAAAAGAGAAATGTGGAAATAATAAGGAAAAGAAAAGACGATAATAACAGTTAAAAAACAGAATTAACAGCACATCAGCGAAGTCGCACGTTAGTTCTGCGAAAGGACCGACGAAGCACCCAGCATCCGGCGCGACGATGCAGCGGAGGAAGGCGCAGATAAAGAACGCTGGATGAGAAGACGGCGCGGGCCGGGCCCGGGAGCGGCGTCCTCGGCAGGGCCTGCAGGCCACGGCCCCCCAGGGACACGCGGGGTGCGCAGCCCCGCACTGGCACCGGCCGGGCCCAGGGGACACGGGCGCTCGGGACCGGCCACCCTCAGGGCATCTGAGCCCAGGCCGGGAGCGGGGGGGCCCTGTGAGCGCAGGAGCCAGGCCGGCACGGCTCCCACGGGCGGGGCGCGAACAGGGGAGAGGCCGGGGTGCCCGAGAGCAGGCTGCTGGGAGGCCTGCGGGGGCCGGGGGAAGCCGTGGCTCAAATCGCCCCAAAGCTGCTTGGGCACAAAATAGAAAAACCAGGAGTTAGGCTGAGAGATGCTGACAGACATGTCGAGAACGCGTCCTGATAAGCCTGATGGGCGGGCGGGCCGCGGCAGAGGCAGCAGCGCCCCCCGAAGTGTCAAAGACCCCAGGGCGGGAGGGCGGGAGGCCTGCCTTAGAGACGCCCCGGGGATCAGGCAGGTCCCCCTGCGGGCCCGGCACCGTCCCCTCCCGGTCCCCAGAGGGCACACACCCCACTGCCCGTCGTTGCTCGGCTCCTCCGAGAGCTGGAGGCCGCCCCTGGTGCCCCGGAGTCCATCTTGGCGTCTGGGCGGCTCTGTCGCCCTTCAGGGATCCCGCACACCCGCAGGCGGACGCCGGACACCGGGTGAACGTGGAGGAAAGGGCAGGGTCCCGGGCTGGGGAGGGGGCCGGGCCCCTCACACGACCACGCACATCTGGGCTTTCTGGGGTACAGGGACTGCAGCTCCCAGACGACAGGGAGAGAGAGAGATGGGGGCAGACCCAGGCGGCTCAGCCCTCGGGAGCCAGTGAAGCCCCAGCGCTGGGCTCCTGCTGCCACGGAGCCGGGGCCCCACCACCTCAGGTCCGCTGCGGCAGCCACAGGGCCAGCAGAGGGGGCCCTGGCCACCGGCGCTGTGGCAGAGGAGGAGTTTCAGCCACGCCGGGAGAAGCCGCCAGTCGCCGGGGAGGGCCAGCGAGCTCCCGGGAGACGTGTTTGTAAAACATGGAGGTCGGGGCGAAGGGAGTCACCCCACGCTGGTGGTGCGGAGTCGTCGCGCCGGCACCACGCGGGTGTGCGGAGAGCCTGGTATGACGGGCACCCCTGGGAGTCCCGCGGCTGTAAACTCCAGGGTCAGCAGAGTGGACAGGGCATGTGTCCTGCAGTGAGGACCAGGGCGTCCAGGGCAGGGGACGGTGTTGTGACAGACACGGGGGCGACCGCACCCTCACCCTGAGAGCTGAGGCCAGTGGGGTAGAGAGGGCGGGGCTGCGGCCATCCTGCGGCCAGGGAGACCCCCCCCCGAGGCCATGGAGGGGCAGTGGTTGGGCAGCGAGGAGGAGGCCGGGGGTTCGGTCAGGGGCTCTCGCACGGGGGTGCCCAGGGCGCCTGGCAGGCCGTGAGCGTGGACAGGCCCCGGCCACGAGGCAGCAGGCAGCGCCGCGGGGGGAGGTGGCGCGTGGCGCCCCGGGGGGCCCAGCCTCCGGCGCCTGGGGCCTGAGAGCGACGACGCCGTGGCCAGGCGGGGAGGGCCGGGCGGCCGGCAGGCCTGGGCAGCGGCGGGGCCGAGGCACTTCCTATTTCTCGTGCCTCTGCTGGCTCAGAGGGTTCATGGCTGTTTGGGAGGGGGCAGGGCATTCGCCTCCAGTTAATCTTTCTGAGAACAAAACAAGAGCTCCAGAAACTATAGAAAACTATAAATAATCGCTTCCTTTATCTGCCCTGGCCGGGGAGCGCGGGGCGCAGTCCCGGGCAGGAAGCCAACGCCGCGCCTGCGTTCCCGTCGCTGCTCGGCGGTCTGGAAACCGAAGACAATGGGAAGGACGCGGACGGAAATGAGGCGGCCGCCCCTGGAAAGAGGGCCCCGAATCCCACATTCCTGGGAGCCCCCAGAGAGCCGTGGAGGCGCTTCCAGAACGAACAAGAGAGCTCAGGAAAGCAGCCAGATGCAAAGCACATATTTTAAATCAATATTTGGTATTATTTTCTAGCAACTATGAGTTAGAAGATAAAGTAGAAAAAACTCTTCCTTCTCAAACAAAAGAAAACAAAACAACAAAGGGGCTGAGGGGCCTTAGCAACGATTCTCCTAAGAGCCCTCGGCCCCGTAGGAAGCACGAGGCAGACCCATGAGCAGCAGAGAAGGAGTGTGAGAAAGAAGAAGAAACCTCTCCATGAGCCTGGGGGGCTCCCAGGCGCCAGCCCCCCGCCCCCCAGAAAGGGCCAGTTCTCCAGCTCAGCCGGAGTCCGGCAGGACCGCGGTGGGCCGAGGGCGAGCGGGCGGGGGCAGCGGGACGGGCCTAGGACGACACACAGAAGGAAAGCCAGGCCAGAGCAGCTAAGAAACTCGGGGAAACGCCGAGGCTTTCGGGGGGAGGCGGCTCCTGACAGCGAGGCCCGCCGGGAACGCACCCAGAGGCGGAGGCTTCCAGAAGAGTGGCTGCCACTCAGGGTGGGCACAGCCAGCCCCAAGGTCACAGCACGACCTTGGGCTTTGTGGGGAGGAGGCCAGCGGCAGGCCCCGCCTGCACCCCACACCTCTACTTCCTCAGTGTCCCCACTCCACATCCTGGAGCCCCTAGACGGCAGAGGCAGGACAGCACTAGGGGGGGCCAGCCGTGTGCGCAGAGGGCCGAGGGGTGCCGGGGTGCTGGGGCCGATCCAGACTGGGCACGCGGAGCCCGCTCTGCCTCGGCGCTGGAGAGCAGCGTCCGTGCTGTGAGGTCTCGGGCCTCGAGGGGGCGGGGGAGACGCTCGTGCGTTTTATTGCTGAGAACTTGAGTTTCTGGTGTGGACACGAGTGTCTCGACACTCATAAGCAAACTCGGACTCCTGCCCAAGATGGAGCGACAGGGACACCTTCCTCCCCAAAGACCCCAACACAAGAGCAGACAGAAGCACCCGGGACAATGTCCTTCCCTGGGGGCGTCCATGTTGGGGGTGGGGGCAGGAAGACCCCAGGGGAGGCAGTGGCCCCGAGTGGACGAAGGGGAGCAGGGCCGCAAGGACCCAAGGCAATGACGGCTCAGGGAGGGGATGGGGGGTGGCCGTGCGGGGGCCTAGGGCTGCAGGGGCCACAGGGTGCGCTCTGGCCCCACACACGCCTGGCAGGGAGGTCCAGGGTGGAGAGGGACACTGGAAGGGCCCGAGAGGCCAATGCCACGTGCTCCGAGGGGCCTCAGAGAGGGCGTCCCCTTCGATCACAATAGACAGACAGTTCACGGGGCTCAGTGGCTCAGAAAGCTTCGCCCCGTCACAGGAATGACCAATCTGGGGGGAGCACCCCCAGGGAGGGAGCACCCCCCTGGAGCACTCGCAGGCCCACCTTGCACATCAGGAAAACGAGACTGAGAAGATGACACCGTGCCCAGGTAACTCAGCCACATCCCAGAACAAAGCTCTGGAATATTTATAAAAATATAAAAATATCCAGCAGCCACTAAGGGAAAACACACAATGTCTGCATCCAATCAAAAATCATCAAACAGGCAGACACGACCCATAAGGGGGAAAAAAATCAATCAAAACCAAGTGTAATAAGTTAAAGCTGTAAACAAAACCCTCGAGCAACTAACACAACAAAACTGTCACAGCCGAGAAGCCAGCACAGAAGCGCAAATGCAAGACATGAGCCTCGTGGTCAGTGCCAGCGCCGCCGGCGGCGGTGGGCAGGTGGGGAGAGGCCGCCAGGGCACCAGGGGCACCGCCCGGACGGAGCAGCTACGCCGGGGGCAGAGGCGGCTACCGTGGGCGGCCAGGGTGGACAGGAGACCAGGGTGCTCCCGAGAGGCAGGCCTCGAACGCAGCAGGAGGGCCGGCGGAGTCCGAAACACACGTGAAACAAAACTGTGGGAGCCGGAGGGGGCGGCCAGGCCCACAGCTAGGCCAGAGGCTCAGCTCTCTGCAGGGCTAAC